GAATGGGCACTGGTGGAGGGATGAGTACTTGATCATTGTATAACTAAAACCCAAACACAAAGGTTTATAAATCTAAAAAAAAATATTTCCAATCCTGTGAATAAATTTGTGTTACTCAAAGGGGAAAATAGATATTAAGACATCCTTAGTGTCTTCAGGTACCGAAGCGTCACAAAAATTTCAGGAGGAGCCATTTCCCCTATCCTTATCAAACAAACTAAACTAAACAAACTAAACTAATCAAACAAACTAAACCAAAGCAAAGTAAATAATTTCCAGAACCATAGTGAACCATTGCTCAATAATTGAAGCCATCAACAAAAACTCTTGTGTAGAAGCAGGACCCTTGAGATATCATACAATGAACAGGACATCACTGAAATCACCCCAGACAGACAAAAACCAAGACCATTTTTTTTATCTCTTCCCAGTCTTAAAATCCACCAAGGAAATGAATGCCCTAAAAAACAACTCCAGATACCTACTTTAGTGTTCAACTTCTCAGCATCATTTTAAAAATAATTAACATAATATCTTATCCCTGAAATCTTTCCAATTTTCTTTTGGTTCATTTATGTTTTCATTTTTGTTATTAAGCCACATCCAGAAGTGCTCAGAAGGGCTACTCCCAGCTTAGACCTCTGGGTTCACTCCTGGAGGTGCTTGGGAAACCCAGTGGTGTCAGGGATTGAACCTATGTCTCTAGCATGAAGCATGCACTCAGTATGCATCTAGCATGCACTCCGCCTGCTGAACCATCTCCCAAGCCCCTCCAGTTTTGTTCTGAAGGTAAAAACTGAGAATTATGCCCCAGTGTAGTAGGACTCATTTCCGACTGTGGTTCCTGAAGTGGAGAAAGAGTGAGTGTTTATATTATCAAATTGAGGTTTTGCTGTATGCTATTCATCACTAAGTGCTTATTATGCTACTTGTGTGGGTGATCTGATGGGATTATAAGTAATACGGAGCCATATGATAACAGAGTGCTACTGATGCCAAGACCTATCTTCGGCCATTCACATTTCTCAAGAATTGGTAATTGGAGAGGTAGTACAGCAGGTAAGATGCTGCTTGCCTGGCACACGAGCAACCTGGGTTCTATGCTAGCATCCCATATGGTCCTCAGCATCACGAGGTGTAGCACAAAAAACATGAAAAACAAACAAACAAACAAACACGTTGGTAATGCCTCCAATTATTTCTCTGAATGTGTTTAGCATTGTCAGCTCTGAAGATCTCTGTCAGTGGACTTCTGTGCCCGGGAGGGTGGGGAGAAGGGAGGGGAGAATCCAGTTTCCAATTTCAGTTCTTCTTTGGAATGTTTGAGAGGTTTTTTTTTTTTCTGTCAAATACAAGCTACTGAATTCTCCTGAACTTTGGTGGTGTTACATCCATAACTTGACTTTGTAAAATCCGCTCTTCATTTTCTGCAGTTTTCTGCTTATTTATAATATGTAACTGCCGTTTTGTTTTGTTTTGTTTTCTGCAGCTAGATGATGCCTGTTCATCTTTCCTGTCCCTTAATTCCCAGCTGCAGGTAATTTCTAATGGCAATATTTTGTAATGACAATGATATGTGTGTGTGTGTGTGTGTGTGTGTGCAAAGTACCCCCCTTTTCTCCCTTTGGTCCTGTTACTAGTTTTTGGACTTACTAAAACATGTCAGTACAATCACCATGAACTAATTACATCACAGGCTGGTAACAGCCAGTGTCATCATGAGCCCATGTTGTGAAGTCCTTGGACTTACAGACAACACACATGTGATTCTAGAAATTAAAATTTCCACTTTTCAAAGTCAAATTCTGTGTGAGATTGAAAATAATGTATCAGACAGGGAGAGAGCTCAAATGTGGGAGCAAGGCCCTGAATTTGATCCCTGGCACTCGATACTCCCTAACCGCAGCATAGCAGGGTGTGGTCCTGGAGGTCCCTGAAAGCTGCACAGATTGAGTGGCCAGGCACAACACACACACACACACACACACACACACACACACCACAAACACACACATGTACATACCACTGCAAGTGTTCCAAATTTAAAAAAATGACAAAATAGAACCATAGAGATAATCCAAGATACTTGTCTTTTATATAGCCATTTGTCCATGACCCTAATATGATCTCTAAGCACCGCCAGGAATCATTCCTGAGCACAGAGCCAGGAATAGTCCCTGAGCACCCCTGAGCATCACCCCAACCTTCACACCGCCATGCTGCCCCACCACCACCAAAAGAAATACAAAAGAATACAAATAATGTGTCTTCTGCTAAATTTTGAAGGCTAATATCCTGTCTTCCAGCTGAGATTGAAAATAGTCTCATGGAGTCAGACTTACAGATGCCAAAGTATCATTGTCACTGAAAAGACAACTTGTGAATCTGGCCTTAGATCTGATGCCAGATGTATTTGCCAAAACCATTCCCGGAATTAAGCTAGGGTCACACAATGATGAGGGGCTTCCTGCCAAAGTGAGGATTTGTGTCTCAGGGGAGAAACATACCATAACAGCTGTCCAGATGGCTAAGATCTGGCTAACAGCTAGACACAGAAGGGCTTAAAGGAGCATGCCCAATTTCCTCCTCCCATCATCTGCTGGTAACTCCACCCTACCCTCCTAGAAAAGGGCAGGGGCAAAAGGAGCACTAGTCTGACGTGGAGCAGGGAGGAACAGGTGCGACCTCTCACACCATCCCCTCTGGATGATGCTCTGTGACCACAGCTCTGTCTTCAAGTGCAGGGAGAGCAGTTGATTAGCCTCAGTGTCTGGACTTTATTCATCATAATCATCTCATGAGAAGAAGGCTCAAGAGGGGCCCCTGGTTTGACCTTTTTCAGTGCTGTGAACTGTGTGTGCCTGTGTCCCCCTGTAAGTTCTGACCAGGAGGCCATGTGTTTTACATGATCTCGCCAGTATGCCATCCCAAAGAGCAGCAGCCTGGTGTGGTTATTCCTCCTGCTTCAACCCATCATCTGCCTGCAGAGGGTAGTTTCCTAAAGTTCAAGTCATTAGCTAGTTGTCTTTGTTTTTGTTTTATTGGCCACACCTGCCAATAAAACAGCTAATGATGATAGAATTGGACATGGCTCCTTATCTGTGGTAGACTGTTTAACTTAGTGTTCAGGGGCTGCTCCCTGCTCTGTGCTTGGGATCTCTCCCCACAGGGCAAAGGGAACTATGCAGCGCTGGGAATTAAACTTGAGTTTCCTGTGTGCAAAGAATTTACTCAGAACTTTGAGCTGCCTCCTGGCACCGAAAGGCATTAGATAGTAAAGCTAGACCGACATCATGAAAAATGACTTTGGGGGATAATATTTAAAATAGTTAAGGAGTGTTGATCACTCTCGGATAACTTTTCTTTCTGTAACACTAAGGGGGATAACCTTTAAAGCATTCGTCTAAACATTATAAAAATGAAGCTCCTTTTTCTCTTTTTTTCCCCCGTGCCTGGGTTCAGTTCAAGCTCAGGGCCTCATACATGTTAGGCAAGCACTCTACCACTGAGCTGCATACATGGCCCTGGATATGAAAAATAGAAGCAAATATTTTAATTTGATTTAGAGACTATGAACATTTTAAGAAGAGGTTGGTAAATATACTATTGGATTCTATCACCTGGACCAAATTACTCTTTAAAAATTATCTTCACATTACCTGTTATTTTATTATTGATGTATTTGAATAGTGCTTCCAAACATTTTGGGCCAGAGAGACAGTACAAGGGGTTATATGTTTGTGTTGCATGCAGAAAGTTCCATCCCTGGCACTGCGTATGGTTTCCAGAGCACTGCTACAACTGGTCCCTAAGCACAGAGCCAGGAGTGAGCGCTGAGCACCAGGGGGTAGTGCCTAAAAAACAAACAACAACAGAACTCTGGAAGATCCAATCATTTGCCTCACATACATCCCGTCAGGGTACAATCCCCAGCTCCCCATATGATCTCCCAAGCACCTTCAGGAGTGATCCCTGAGCAGAGAGCCAGGAATAAGCCCTGAGCACTATTGGGTGTGTCCCAGAAATAAACAGGAAAAAGAGCTCTGGAGTGATGCTGTCTCTGCTGATTGATTTATGGTCAAAGAAACTATAATTTAGAGAAATGAGGTAACCAGCCAAGATAACACAGTGAATGATGATAGAAATGGACATGGATCCTTATCTGTGGTAGACTGCTTAAGTTAGTAGCCCAGGTTTATAACCACTAATTACATTGCTTCCCCTCCTCTGTTGTTCCACTTCATTACTTCCCATATGAATTTGTTCACTTGTCAATTGTTTATGGCACTTCCGTGCAAAATTCTGTGCAAAGGAAGTTTCGCCCCTACTTGTCCATTTGGGCCACTCCCCACCACACCCAGCAGGCTGTTAACCTTAAGCAGCTCTGCCCTATTTCTGTGCTCAGATGCTTTGTAAAACCTGATCCTGGGGTGTGCAGTCAGCAACCTTCAAGGGTGGTTTTGTGGATTAGGTGTATACCCCACATGACTTTCCCCCCTCCCCGATTCCTACTGTTTGCAATCAATGACAGCAATTTCAAATTAACCAATGATGAATAATATTTAGTTCACAGTTGGGCCCGTGGTTTCAGACTTTGCTATACTCTAGGAAGAATAATCCCTTTTGGCACTTCCCTAGTTACACTTAGTCATAGGACTTTATGGATTTATAGGACTGTCAGCTAGTATTGAGAACTGTAGATTGGGACCCCAGGGAAAGCCTTAATCAATGCTTATATCCAAATGCTTGTATATCACACCACCACCACTCCCCCCCCTTTTTTTTTAACTGATTGGAAGAAATATTTTACTTTTATGAAACAAGTATTTGTCATGAGAGAAATCAAGAGAAGAGTTTCAGTTAGATACAGGAAAGATTCTGCAAGTTGGACTCGTGTGTTCCTAACATTTCTCTGGTTTTGTCTTCTATGCAAATGTTGTTAAAGCAGAACCATGGCCTATTTATTTTCTCATTTCCATTAGACTTCCAAAGCACTGGAGGAGTTTTGCCTCACAGTTCTGGGAACTCCACCCAGGCCCCAGGTAAGACTGAAACTGTGTTTGCTCAGTGATAACTTGCAATTCCTCCTGGAAGAAATTATACTCAATTTAGAAAGCATGTCAAAGAGGAGTTGGAAGAGATAAGTGGGTTTTGAATAAGAAACAAATACTTCCATTTTGTTCTTGCCTACAAACATAAGGTCATACTAACAAAGTTTGCAGTCATTGAATTGGAAAATCCTAAGTCTTCTCAAATATGAGCTGTGTGTTGTAGTTCTCATGAGAGAAACTTGGGATCATTTTGGTTCTCTTTCCCCCCCAGGCCTTGTTACCCTTGGAGAAGAGATGAATCTTGTTAAGCTCTGAGGTTTCTGTATCACTGTTAGGGAAGGACATTAAGAATGCCTGGAGGGCCAGAGAGATAGTACAGCGGGTAGAGCATTTGCCTTGCACACGACTGACCTAAGTTCGATTCCTGGCATCCCATAGGATCCCCAAGCACCGCCAAGAATAATTCCTGAGTGCAGAGCCAGGAGTAATCCCTGAGCATTGCTGGGTGTGACCCAAAAAGCGAAAAAATAAAAATAAAAATAAGTAAATAAAAAGAATGTCTGGCAAGGAAATGACGCTGATAATGTCAAGTTTGAAAATCATATTCATACAATGATGCCTGCGTTTCTTATTCTTTGTTTCTTCTCAGAGATCTTTCTGTCTTGATGGGATGATAGGTGGACACTTGAAACACAGCAGCATGCACCACAGTTCATTTCATCTTCTGTGTCTTTTCTATCGATGGCGTGACATTAAAACGACATAATGAAAGACAAGAGCCTCTGATTAGATGATTTCTTTTTATTAGCCATTCTTGTTTGACATATGATCATCAGTACATTCTCAAGTCACTATCTTTTATATGCAGTTATTTGATGAAACCTTGCTATTTTGATACCTTTGTGGGGTTTTTTTTGGGGGGGGGTGTCACACCTGTAGTGCTCTTCCAGATTTGTGCTCTGGATTGCTTGCAGAGCTGCAGAGCTGCATCAGGGACCATGAAGTGCCAGAGATCCAGCATACAAAGCATGTGCTCCAGCCCTTTGAGCCATCTCTCTAACCTGAAATTTTTGTATCGGTTTGTTACAGGGGGGCACACCCATCAGTGTTCGGGGATTACTCTTGGCTCTGTGTTCAGGGGTCACTCGTGGTGAGATTCAGGGAACCGTATGGGGTACCGGGTTTGGAATTTGGTCTGCCATATACTAGGCAAGTGCTCTACAGACTGACTGTACTATCAGTTTGGCCCCCAGAAATCTTGATATTTTTAAAACGTGTTTTCTGAATCTAAATAATCTGTTTACAACAGTACACTTTTCACTGTTTTCAATAGCCCCATTTCAAAAGAAAGCCTTAATAATCTTTTCTATGATGAGAAATGACTATAACAGTTATACACATGGTTTTACTTTGCAAAAGCAAATGAGAATAAGTAACGACCAAAATAATAATACAACACTTTAAGATGAAAAAGCTTCCGTATCTTTCTTAATAAGTTAGAGAGGTAGGGAGGGACATAGAAAAGTCCATAAAGAAAAGTAAAACTAGGAAACAGAGACAGTGGAGGGACTGAGACATTTGCCTTGTATGCAGCTGACCCCAGTTCCATCTCCAGTACACAGCTGGGGTGTCAAAGAGAAAACAAAAATAACTCATAATTTGGTTACAACATTGCAAACCTTTTGATTTGATTCCTTATAGACTTTCCTCTATGTATTCTATCATTTGATCTTATTATAATTTCCTGTTTTACCGCTGTTGAACTTTTAGGAATTTTCAATTTTTCACTCTTTTGAATAATGCTATGTGATAATATCTGTTTACACCTTTATTTACATATAGCGTGTACTCAATTTCCCAGTTAATTTTAGGTTAATACAATCTTAGGCGATTTTAACGCTATCTCTCATATGTGATATGTGTCAGGTGATTTTAGAATTATATCATCTTATATTGAAACTTTTAATTCAAAATTACACAAAATACAGCTTTATGGTATATGATATTTCTGAATCTTTTCAGGAAGAAACAGATGAAAAAGATAATACCAAAAGGGTAAGATGATTTCCATATATATGTACATCAAAAGTAATTAAAGTAGCCACAGATTGTCTATAGTAAACATTACTACCTTTTTTTTTTTTAACAGTTCTTATTTCATTACTCGAAGACACAGAAGTTGGGCAATTCAAACGTTGGGGTAAGTTGAGGGCTACTTCTTGTTAATAATCACTAGTATTTGTTCATAAATATATATGCATATATATTTAAAAACACTATTCAAGCAGCTTATAGATAGATAAGCACAGCGGGTAGGGCATTTGCTTTGCACGTGGCGGACCCGGGTTCGATTCCTCGTCCCTCTCAGAGAGCCTGGCAAGCTATCGGTGACGTGTTAGATATGCCAAACACAGTAATAACAAAGTCTCCAATGGAGACGTTACTGGGCCCACTCGAGCAAATCTATGAACAACGGGAGGACAGTGACAGTGACAGTGACTTTTGAAATTTATATGTATGTCCAGAAATATAAATGAATGGTAGAGCATATGCCATACATAGGTTCAATCCTCAGTACCAAAAATAAAAGTAAAATAAAAACTTACATGTGAATGAACAAATGGAACTAAATATTTTACTTATATAGAAATATAATCAATTATATTACATTCATTCCTTCAGCAATTGTTTATGGAGTATCTACTGTGGATCAAACATTATTCTAGGTACTAGAAAAATAGAATTAGAAATTAATAGAATTAGAAAAGAGAATCTGTTCTCATGTGACATTCTGGGGGTTGGGGAATTTAGTAAACACCTTGTTTTAGATGGTGATCAGTGAAAGGGAAAAAATATTAAAAGGCATTTAAAGAATTCTTTTTAAAAAGTATTGTCAATGTCTATAGACCAAACATGATTGTCACCCATTGCCTCTTTTGCAAACCACAACACCCAATAAGAGAGAGAGAACAAAAGGGAATGCCCTGCCACAGAGGCAGGGTGGGATGGGGAGGATGGGGGTGGGAGGCATACTGTGATCCGTGGTGGTGGGAAATGGGCACTGGTGGAGGGATGGGTATTTGATCATTGTATAATTGAAACCCAAGCACAAAAATTTGTAAATCTACAACTGTACCTCATGATGTCTCACTAATAAAAATTTTAAAAAATCGAAATGAAATGGAAAAAAAGTATTGTCAATGTATAATATAAATATAATAGTTAGGAATATCCATCTTTGGTCCTATTATCTCCTTATATGTAATTAAGCATTTAATCTAACAATTTACTCTCCAAAATTAGCCAGATACCAATAACTTAAATTCAGTTCATTATATAATTGTTCAGGTTTTTGGTAATTTTTCTTTTTATATGTGTGGACTTAAAAATTGCTAACCAAACTACTTTACTATAAAAGTCTAAAATGCTTAGTAATTATTTAATGATAATATTATAAATTATAAATTTATGACTCACTGTTGTGAACCAGTTTAGGAAATGAGCAGTAGCATGTGTGTAACCTTTCTATAGAAAGGTTAACGATAATCCTTAACTCCAGTTTTAAATATTTAAAGACATTGAATATTCTTATACAGGAGCTTAAAACTAGATTGCATTGGCTTTAAGTCAAATACAAGTTTAATTGGTTAATAAATAATCATTACATGGAACTTGGTTTGATAAATAAACTTAATGTTTGTGAGAAGCTCCGGTTTAAGGCATGGCTTGAAAATGGAAACTGTGTCAAATATGCTTTCATTTCTTCTCTTAGCAACTTTACATTTTGAGAATAAGAATCTTAGTTGCAGTATTTCACTAGCAATAGCACCTTCTTGTGTTTTATGTCCCCTGTTGCCTCCTTCCATAGTCAAGTTTTAAATACAATATATAACTTTAAAAGGAGATTGCTAGATGCCACGCAAACAATTTTATCTCAGAAAACTGATTTTTCACAGAGTGGTTTCATCTGCCCCACACTGTTGTGAGGAAGTAAGGAAGGGGGCAACTTTTTGCCTCTTAAAGATACAAGCAGGTCTTTTACTGGTTGGCAGCTGTTAACACAGCTGATAATACAGCCAGACTCGAAGTGATTCTTCAGTATAATGACAAAGACTGTACCATGCAGCCATGAAATCTTACGTCAGCACTTTACTGCATCTTCACTGCTCTCTGAAGTGCTTACAAAGGAGGTCTTAGATAGCATCTTAGTCATTTTTTGGTCTGGAGCCAGTGCAGTGGGTGAAATACAAATGAATAGGAAATCGTCTTTCTGTCCAGTACTCAGAAACCTTTGTACTCATTCTGTGTCTTTGTCTCCCAGTCGTCTGTCCTGCATCCTTTGCTGCAACTCATTCCTCAACTGCACGAGAGAAGAATGAAAAGAGTCAAAATGAATGTACGTAACCAATGGCATGCTTGTTTTGTCTCTGTCTGTGGGCACCCTCCTGCTTCATTCCCTGACACTATGGTCAAGGAGACACTCGCCTTTCTCAACTCCATAGACGCACCAGTCTGCCTTAGAGCAATTATGTGCAAGTGTTTCTACACTCAGAAGAAGAGAATTGTTCCCCTTCCCCATCATACACGCTTTCTAATTTCAGGTGTGGGTGATGAGGAGAGCTGGGGTCACATTCCCTCCCGTGGACCTTGACCCTCTCAGGGAGAAAATCTATCTGGGGGTGGAGAGAAAGTATAGGGATTGAGTGGTTTGTTTACCTTGCATGTGACTGGTCCTGGTTCTATTCTTGGCACCTCCTGGTCCCCTGAGCACTGGCTGGGAGCAATTTCATGCGCAGAGCAGAGAGAAGCTCTAAACACTGCCAGATGTGGTTCCTGTCCCACCCTAGCCCCAATCAAGAACATAACAGCATACTTAGTCTTTAGGATGCCTCAGTGAAAATACAAAGGAAAACTTACCCTTCTGCATTTAGGTTGGTAAAAGTCTAAGGACAACTTTCTATCCAAGAATCAAAATGATATAAGAGTATTAATCTTGAAGTCAATAAATCTTAACAAAGATAGGTTTTCTTTTTTTCTTTTTTTTTCTTTTATTTTTCCTCCCACAGTTGACAAAACTATGGCCTAAATCCAGCCTCTGTGTTTATGATGAATATAACTGAGTTAATACATTAGTTTTGTTTGGGGCCACATCTGTCAATGTCCATGGGTCACTCCTGGGGTTGTTGGGGAACCACTATGGGGTACCTGAGATCAAATCAAGGTCAGCCATATGCAAGGCAAGTGCCTTAATCCCTATATTATCTTTTCAACCTGTTAACACATTGTTAATTGTGTGGTCTTTATTGCTTTTTTGGGGGGGCGGGGTGCACGGTCTACATCCGTAGATGGTCGGGGCTAATCTCAGTTCAAAGTTCAAGGTGTATACTGTGACACAGATCAAACCTGAGCCACTGGATACAAGTCTCTATTCAACCAGTTGAGTTTTCTCTCTGGCTTTTACTCTATTCTAAAATAAATCCTGATTCATCAACCTGGATTGAATGGGTGGAGGTGGTTCTCCCAGGTTGGGGTCTGGCCAACTAGGCAGGTAGTACAAAGCAGGAGCCCCAAAGATACGGTTTTCCTCAGCCTGTGGTGCTGAAATTACCCCTCATCTCAGGCATTGCTTCAGTGCTTTTGGGCCACCACCTGCAGTGCGCAGAGGCCTGCAGTGATGGTCCAAGTCCGCTGCCTACCACAAGTGCCTTAATCCCCAAAATATCACTCCAGTCCTAGACTCCTGACTCTTTCAGTGATAAAAGATTCTAGGTATAGTTTTCTGTTGGAGCCTGATACTTTTGGAATGAATCTTAGTTTTAAATTTTATATGATGTCATTTTTTTTTCCTGTTGGCAGCTCTGTTACTACTGTTATTGAGAGTATTGTTGCCCATAGTTTACAAAAGGGAAAATTATTCAAAATAGTTTTCTAAGATCATACTAATCAGTGAATGAGATTAGAAATTACAACACTCTTCTGATTTCTAGTGATTTCTAGTGTAGGTAAAAATTTCTTCCCTCCACATTTTCCTACTTTTGGATACTTGAATGATCTCATTAGTTTTTTTCCTCAAATTTATATACCATGTTAATTTCATTCTTCCTAAAGTACATTAAAAGTCTTCAAATGTTACTTACAATGTATATAGTTTAGGGAGATAATAAACTTTTATAGCCGCTGTTTCCTCCCTAAATTTTTCACATCCTTCCTTTTTTGTGGGGGTGGGGGAGCAGACACATCTAGTAGAGCTGGGGTTTACTTCCTGCTCTGTGCTCTGGGTTCACTCTCAACAGTGCTCAGAAGTCCATGCAAGAATATTGAGCTCTCTCTGGCCCAATTTTTTATATATGTTTGTTTTTGTTTTGGTTTGGTTTTGCTTATTGGAGGGGGCTATACCCAGCAGTGCTCAGAGTCTATTCATGGCTCTGTTTTCAGGGATACCTCCTGGAAATGGTCAGGACACCATATGGTGCTGGGGATCAAATAAAAATAAGCCAAGTCAAGGGGCTGGAGAGATAGCACAGCAGGTAGGGCGTTTGCCTTGCACATGACTGACCTGGGTTCGATTCCCAGCATCCCATATGGTCCCCTGAGCACTGCCAGGAGTAACCCCTGTGCATCGCCGGGTGTGACCCAAAAAAGGAAAAAAAAAGGTTAAAATATGCCAAGTCAAGGTAAGCACCTAAACACCTGTACTATCTCTTCAGCCTTCAGTTTTTCAGACTTTTAAACTAATCTTCCATCATGAAAGATAATGAAAATTTTATGATATCCAGTGTGAGAAAAAAATAAGTTGTCATCAAAGGTTTTAGAAGTAATATATGCTTTTTATGAATTAACTTTTACTTTATGAAAGTAAGTATTTTGCTTGACTAAATAATAGTCTAAGTTTTAACTTAAAGATTTAGTTCCTGGACCAGAAAGATACTATAGGGGCTATGGAGCTTATCTTGCATGTAGCTAATCCCAGTATATTCCTGGCACCATATATGTATATGGGTGGTCCCCTGAGTGCTGCCAGGTGTAAGCACTGAACAGTGACGGGTGTGATCTAAGCCCTCCTCAAAAAAAGATTCATTTTCTTAAAATCACTAGTACTTGTTACATTCGTGTATTATTTCATTGTCATTGTTTGCAAAGCCTAGCTACATCTTCAGCGTGATGGACCAGTTTGGGGTTTTCTCTGAATGTCTATCATGAGTGACACTATATTTCCAGCTAACTGAAAACAGGAGCTCTGACATGGTAGGGTACACTATTGGATAAATAATAACACCTCACGGTATATAACTACAAACCAAGTTTCGTAGCAACCAATAAGGGAAAGAACGTAAGACATGAATAGAGAAAACTTACAGTTGACTACTTTGTTGGGCATAAGTCACCTGGCTATAAAACATATTTGACCATAAATTGTTTGGTGTTCTTAAAGAAAATTAGTTTGGGATTCATTGCGGTTTGAGGTTTTATTTTTCTTCTTTAGAAAATGAATTTTTGGATATTAATGCATCTACTTTTCTTAAATTTTGTTTGCGAGGCATCATTATTTTAATTCCCTTATCTTTTTAAATCTCTACCACCCCAATTCTTTTGTATTAATCTCTCTTTCCAGTGACAAGACTGAAAACACTTGTATGTTTGGATATGGAAATTTTAAATTTGGGGCATTTTTTTTGTTGTTTTGAGGTTCTGAGAGTTCTGGCAGTTCTGGGAACTACTACTGACAGTAGTCAAATGACAATGTGATGTCAAGCAGTGAAGGAGATCATAAATATAATAATCATATATAAATATCTGTCATTCTATTTCTACTTATGAAAAGCCATACATATAAATTGTGAGTTTTCCTAAAGTACAATTTTCTGATGCTATTCTATTGCTAGCTGAAAATTCTTTGAATACTTATGTATTGATGATTTATTGATATGAATTTTATACCTAAGACCCTGATTCCATCAGTGTTTAATTTTGTTGTCAAAATAACTCAGTTTCATTACAATTTCAAACAGAATTTCTACTTATTTTTACTGTTTTTTCATTTGTTATAACTATTTCTTCCAGGATAAATTCCAGCTTCCTTTTGCAAAGCGATATCAAGAGTCCTATAAGTTCAAGGTACATACATATAATATTTTTTAAAATGTTACTGAAAATTACTTTGCTATATTTACATAAATTTACTTTTTAGTGTTGAGGTTTATTTATTGATATAATCTGAAATTCATTTTTTTTCACCAGCCTTTGCTTTATACTATGGATGGCAGGCCAGAAAGAGTTCAAAGAGCTAGGCACATTCTTTGCATGTAGAAGACCAGTTTAAATTCAAAACACCGCACAATCCTCTGAGCACCTGAGCAAAGAGCCAGAAATAGCATCTGAGCACTGTCCGATGGACCCCCAAATCAAACAACAACAAAAATATCATGTTGGCATCTCTGATCTCTTGTCTAACCCGCTACTCAAGTTAGTAAATATTCTAAATGATAGCTACATATACAATAGTTTAGTTTCATAATATGTACAGGAAATGAGTGTCTCTTTGGGGGAGAAGGTGTTTAAACAGGGCCACACTCAGCTGTTTTCAAGGCTTATTTCTGCCTCTTGCTCAGGAATCACTCCTGGTGGTGCTCTGGGTACCATATGTAGTGCTGGTAGGTTGTGTGCAAGGCCAGTGCCTTATCTGCTGTACTATCTCTCTGGCCCTGGCCCTGGAAATGAATGTATTAATGGTGTCTGACTCCTTAGGAGAATATGCATGTAAACCCCTTCCCAAAAATCGTTCAGGGCTCTTTCTTCTATGGAGAAGCCTGTGTCTCTGTCTCTTTGTTTTTTGTTTTTCCGGGTTTTTTTTTTTGTGTGTGTGTGTGTGTGTGTGTGTGTGTGTGTGTGTGTGGCTACCACTACAATGCTCAGGGTTTACTCCTAGCTCTGCATTGCATTACTCTTGCAATGCTCAGGGGACCATATGGAATGCCAGGGATAGAACCCAGGTCATCCAGGTGCAAGACAAATGCCCTATCTACTGTACTATTGCTCTGGCCTCATTAATGTCCTCTAATTACCCCTTCTTTCTTGCACTCTTCATATTTCATAAATAAAACTATTCTACTTAGGTTTTAAGAAAAAGGATGCATTACTCCTTAACTTGCAAGGAATTGTTTACTAATTTTTTTCTACTGTGGACTGAAATAGTTGTCATTATGTTCACACGTCTATAAAAAATAAAATAATGATTTATAAAAGGACATAGACTTTGTAACTGCATTTTGTATACCTATGACCAGATTGAGTGTGAAATGTGAAATTCTAAGTCACTCTTATTTCTAGCATTTCTGTATCATTAAGATTCTTTATTCTTAATTGATATTTTTTCTTTTTTT